ACACCCTGAAAAGAGTGATTGCAATTTACCTGATACAGGCTTCAGTTTCAAGGGCCTACAAGCAGCCCAGCAGATCATGTCCCCACCAAGAGCTGGACATACACAGTAACTCCAAGCTTTCTACCCTTCCCCATGGCTCCCCTCAATCTCTGCCCGCTGAACTGAGTGCCAGATACACCGAATTCAAGGAGAAATTGCTACTGCAACCTTGCTTTAAGAAGGAGGAAATTTAAATGCAATCTCCAAATTCTGTTATCAACAATACCACTGAAATTGCTTTGTCTTGAGACCTTAATGGGTGGCCCCCCAAAAGGGCAGCAGTCAGAAAAGCCAATATGATCAAGTAACTGAAATTAAAGTTTCATTATTTCCTTACCCAAAGCAGCTCTGTAGCTCAGAAAAAGTCATGCATCAAAGGCTTTTCCTCACTGTTCCTCTGACCCTCTCCACCCACCCCACTCCATCCATCCCAACTTCTCCGAAGGCTTAACTGGGTATTTAATTCAGCATGCCCACCTCAAGTATCCTGGTATCGAAATCATCATATGTTTCTGTAGGGAGAAAAGAAACAGGTATACGGATAAATGTGTCTATATAATTAGTGTATGAAAGTTTGTTTTTTTTTGTTTTTGTTTTTGCGGTACGCAGGCCTCTCACTGTTGTGGCCTCTCCCATTGCGGAGCACAGGCTCCGGATGCGCAGGCTCAACGGCCATGGCTCACGGGCCCAGCCGCTTCGCGGCACGTGGGATCCTCCTGGACCGGGGCACGAACCCGTGTCCCCTGCATCGGCAGGCGGACTCTCAACCACTGTGCCACCGGGGAAGCCCCATCACTGACTTTTAACTAAGAAAGAATCTCAGATATTTTGGTGCCACTATCAAAGCAACACCCTGGCCCTCCATCATCACCAGAAACTGTTCTACCACTAAATTCATAAACTCGACCACTATCTCCCTGACTGCATCCTCCCACCTCTCCAGCTCTCACTCAGTGACTGAAAGGTGATGGTCCTTGGGGCTCCCCAGCACCTCCACACTCTTGACCACTGTTCCCCTTCCCCATCACCCCTCTGATCTTCCAGTCTCTCCCACTCAGTCAAGACACCACAGTCCAACACTTCCACCAGGTCTTGTGAATATCCTCAACTCCGTCACCTCTTCCCCTCTCCACCACACTATCCAGGATGGAATCAATGCAGCTGTCTGGGCACACCTGACCTGCCAGGTGCTGCTGTAGAGAAGTCAAAGCATGGGACACACTTGGGCCACTAAAGACTCATGGTCTCCAACTCAGTCAAGTCCTCCCTGCTGCCTGCTGGCCTTTTACATCCTTTTAGTTAGGTCTCTCTCCTCTCACCACAGCAGCCGTTTCAGACACTCTCTGTGTTCTTTTATTTTTAATGACTTTTTACTATAGAAGATTTACATTCATAGGCAACCCCCCCCAAAAAAACCCCAGCAAAACGTGAGCTTATGTACCATTAGCTAGCTTCAACGATTATCAACTGACAGCCAATCTTCTTTCCTCTAAACTCTGTCCAAGTCCCACTCCACAGGATAATTTTGAGGCCCATCCCAGATACCCTACCTTTTCATCAAAATATTCTGGTGGCCATGCTCATCCATGCCCATCTCCTCCTCACAGACTAACTGAAGGCTCCAGAGAGACTGCATTCACACAGGCCCCACCCCTTCCTTCCACTACCAACAACACACCTTACCTGGCTCTGTCCCCTGCCCTTTCTTCCATCACAAGTTCATCCATTTATCTACACTCTAAATGTGGGCCCTCCCTAGGGACTTAAGTTTATGGGTTTTTTTCTCTCCCTCCCATATCTTCATTCTCCCAATGGAAGCATTCTGCTCAGTCCTAAGCATGCTGGCCTGAGTCTCTCCACCTCAACCTCTCGTCTCCTCTTTGAGCCAAACTAAAGAAAGCAGCGAAACCCTTGTCTATTTCTTCATCTCCTATTCATTGACAAGAATGAATATTTCAGATGATTTTTACTTCTTTACATACTCAGGAAGCAGTGGGGAGATGACTTTGTTTTCTAATTTAGTCTGATAAATATTATCAACTTTTATTTCATGTGTACTTTTATGAGGCTTAATGACAACTATTGGGTTTCTTCTGTTATCAAAATAGCACTCCCAAGCCATGCTGCTCCATATCCAATGACCAATAGCATTTGGGAAACTGCATCCCACAGATGACTTATATAGAGCCATATGCACACCACCATGTTCAAATGCTCTGAGAAGCCACACAATAAAGACACCAGAACCCAGTGCTTTGCCCCCTATTTGTGGAATACTTCTTGGCTTACAGGCCTCTAGTGCTCCATAAAATACATTTGGGTAATAACGTGAAGTTATTTCAGTGATGCTCAAATCCCTTTTAGGAAGAAGGCAATCTAAACAGACGAGTAAATAAAATCATATCAAAGAATTCCAGAAATAGGAGTGCTCTGTCACAATGTAAGCAAAACCAGGACTCTGCTACCTCCACTGGGACCAGGGTCAGGGGGGCCAAGACTGACGCCTCCCCATGTGTTTCCGCTCCATCCTCGCTCCCGTTTAACCTTCATCTTCCTCTTCCATTCCCACTCTTCTCTCTGCCGGACCATATCCGCCTCTACCTTCTCCTGCTCTTCCTTGCTTCTTTGGGCAATGGTCTGCACAGCTCCATTTCTCATAAGAGGGACATTCAGACCAGGCCATAGGAAGCCACAACGCCCTGAAGGTTTAAAAACATACATAAATAAGGATTTTTTAAAAGCATTCATTTCTTGAGTATTAAAATGCCAGGCAATGTGTATATAGATAATGATACCGCTGGTGGGAGCTTAAGCTAACATAATCACTCCACAGGCCACTTGGCATTGTTCATTAAAATTTTAAACATACCTACCATAACAGCCAGTAATTCCACTTACTGGTATTGCCTAGAAAAACACTCCCCTGCAGGTATGAGGCATATGTGTGCTTGGACAAGGATGTCCACTGAAGTGTTATTTGTAAAGGCAAAAACCAGAAACCATCTAAATGTCCAGCAATATTGGAACAGTAAAATGAACTACAGCATATCCAACCTATGAAATACTCTGTACTAAACTCAAAGAGTAAGTTAGTGCTATAGGTTCTGAGATGGAACAATTTCCAAGACCTATTATTGAGTGAAAAAAAGCAAATAAGACAATATGTACCATATGACATAATCTAATTATTTTTAAAAGAAAATATATACTCCTTTTAGGGTATTCATATATATAAAAGCATTAGAAAATGTCAGAAGGAAACACATCAAAATGAAATCAGTGGTTTCCTTAGGGGAGACAACTGGGATTTTGCGGGAGATAAAAAAGGCATCAAGGGGGACTTCAGGTTTCTCTATTTTTTTTTATTGAGAAAATTTTTTTATTGAGAAAGTATACATATATGATTATTTAAAACGTTAAAAAATAAATAAATAAATAAGATATAAGGTAAGTCATGGAGAAAAACATCCAAGTAGACATGCAACAGCTACAAGTGCAGTGAAAGGTGTTTTCTTTACATCCAAAAGGCTATTACTATCAAAGATAATCTGTCAGCAACCACAGTAAAGAATGTTGATTCAACTATACTATTTTTATTCTTTAAAAAACACAAGTATAAACAATCATGTGTTCCAGAAGTTGAAAAAGTAAGGCCCACAATTCAAATCTACTCCACCACTTTTTTTTTTTTAAATAAATTTATTTATTTATTTTTGGCTGCGTTGGGTCTTTGTTGCTGCGCGCGGGCTTCCTCTAGTTGTGGCGAGCAGGGGCTACTCTTCGTTGCGGTGCGTGGGCTTCTTATTCCGGTGCCTACTCTTGTCGCGGAGCACGGGCTCTAGGCGTGCTCAGCAGGCTGCAGTAGTTATGGCTCGCAGGCCCTAGAGCGCAGGCTCAGTAGTTGTGGCACACGGGCTTAGCTGCTCCGCAGCATGTGGGACCTTCCCAGACCAGGGCTCAAACCCGTGTTCCCTGCATTGGCAGGCAGATTCTTAACCATTGCCCCACCAGGGAAGCCCTAGCCCACCACTTATTTTTGTAAATAAAGTTTTATTGGAACACAGGTAAGCCCACTCGGTTATGTATTGTCTATGACTGTTCTCGTGCTAGAACAGCAGAGCTGAACAGTTGGAACAGAGACCATAAGGCTAAACAAGTATTTACTTGTTTACAAGTATTTACTACCTGGCCCTTCAGAGAGAAAGTTAAGCCAGTTCTCCAGTTATTCCACCTTCTACCTCTGAATCATAAGTTCTTTGAGGATAGGGACTTTTGCAGCAGATGCCACACAAAGGCATTTAAGGGCTTCCCTGGTGGCGCAGTGGTTGAGAGTTCGCCTGCCGATGCAGGGGACACGGGTTCGTGCCCTGCTCCAGGAAGATCCCACATGCCGCGGAGCGGCTGGGCCCGTGAGCCATGGCCGCTGAGCCTCCGCGTCCGGAGCCTGTGCTCC